ATGCATGCAAAGGGCTGGGAGGGCAAAAAAATCCACCTTCAGCTCATTCCTGCATGTCTGTCTACATACATATGTGTGTTGCAGAGAGTAACATAAGGGCAGAATGCTGGCCACAGGTAAATCTGTGTGAAGTGTGATTGGTATTCCTTGCACTCTTTATTCTTACAATTTAAAAACTGTCTTGTTTCTGTGGTACTGGGTCTTGAACGTAGAGCCTTGTACACCCTAGGCAAGTGCTCTCAGCCAGGCCTGAACGTGTAGTCTCCTTGCCTTCGTCTCCTAGTTGTTGAGCTGCCAGATCTGACTAAAAGCGGTCTTCACATGGGGAAGCTGTGTTCTTGTCCGTCCTCACTCCCCGTTCCTGTGGAGATAACCCTCCCAAGCTCATCTCTCTGAGTCCCCAACTAAGGTCCATAGTGAGCCCTGAGAACTCTTCGGCCCTGATTCATGTTTGGGGACAGCTCAAAGATAGAGGATGGAAGTGTGTCTGGGTCTCTTTTCCAGGAAATGGCTGTGGACCTGGAGTTGGATCAAGGCTCTTCTGCCTCCTATGGCTGTTCAACTTCTCAGAGTCACATTCTCTTCCGGGTATTCAGAAGACGGCTCCACGCTCTGGCAAAGGGGCACAGCACGGCTACTAGCCTTAGGAGACAGCGAGAGCTGCTCGTATGCAAACGGTAACAGACATCGCAGCATCTCTCATGGGCCAGTGTTTGTCTTTAGCTTCCTCTGCTCATTGCTTGTATTATATCTACCCCAAGCTTGCAAAGGTTTGAGCATCTCAGTGGCTCCTGTAGGAACAGGTGTGACAATGTAAAAGGTGCTTTGGACTCAAGTCTTTCTGCTCAGACTCTAGAATTCCTTTGCTAAAGGGGTGTACTATAAAGAACACTTTGTTGTTGCTGCTGTTTTAAATGCACATTTTTTTAAAGTGCATTTCTTTATAATAGAATCCTCCAGTTAAGGATTGCATCTAGCCTGGTGGTCGTGGCTCATGCCTTTAATCCCAGCACTTTAATCCCAGGCATAGGCAGGCGGATCTCTGTGAATTCAAGGCCAGCCTGGTCTACAAGAGCTACTTCAGGACAGGCTCCAAAGCTACGGAGAAACTCTGTCTTGAAAAACCAAAAAAAAAAAAAAAAAGATTGCATCCATCTACATGTTGTTGAAATTTTATTTATTTATATTTTTTGAAGCATATTTGGGGTATCTGCAGTGACTAAGCAGGAATTAAATGCTGGGGACAAAGACAGCTTTGTATGTAGAACACTTCAAGGCGAGAACAATGGGAGCTGGAAACCAGGGCTGTGGTTCCAATAGCATCACTCGATCTGGAAAGTACTGTCTAACAAGGTTGAGCCAGGGACAGGACACTGTTTCTTTGTTGTCTGTCTTTACCATGATGTCCCCCTTCTTCCCAAGGCTTCTCCTCCACCTGCCTCCATCAGTTCTTATGGGCAACCCCCAGACCAGACAACCTGTGTCCCCCAACTGTGAGGAGTTCTTTAACCTGGTCAACTCTGAGTTGGTATGTGAAAACACTCTGGGCTGGCCTTTCTACCTGTGTTGGTTTTATGCTTACTTTGAACTGTTTTACAGAGAAACTCGTGTTGCCATGGCAGTGTCCTGACCCATGATATTACCATGCACTTCTTCAGGGTAATCTCTTATGTGATGGAACTCTGGTTGCCTAGGTGGTTCCTTCGGGGCTAGCGTTCCCATGGGCACCTGGGTTGGGAAACTGCTGAGTTTCCGTGTGTTCTTGCTACAGGGGCTCCTTAATGTGTGTTTTCGAAGTGAAGACCCAGCATTGGTGGCCAACTCGACTCTGACAGAGTGCCAGACCAAATGTCCCATTATTCTGACCTCAGCCCTGGTAGGTCTGGTGTGTTGGTTTTTTAAATTGCATTTCTTTATCTCTTCCCCCACACCAGTCTCTGTATGTAGGCATGCACAGTGGTCGGAGAGCAGCTGTGGGGTCAGTCCTTCCTTCCCACTGTATAGCAAGCAGCCTAGGACCGAACTCAGGTCATCAGATTCACAACAAGCACCTTTCCTATTGAGACTTCGCACACTCCCTTGTCTTGTTAGATTTCCAGGGTTCAGTATCCCTTCCTGGTAGTTAGGATTCACAAGATATTTGAGAAGTAAAGTAGCGTGAAGGGCTGGAGCAACGACTCAGCAGCTAAAAGCACCGTCTGCCTTTCCAGAGGATCCAGGCTTGATTCCCAGCACCTACATGGTGGGTCACCATTCATATTCCAGGGGATCTAACAGTTTCTGACCTCTGCAGGCACAAAGCTTGTGTCAGTATGTAATGCATACATGCAGGGAAAACGTTCATACATATTAGAATATATTTAAGCTGGGCAGTGTGGTTTACGCCTTTAATCCCAGCACTCGGGAGGCAGAGGCAGGTGGACCTCTTGAGTTCTAGGTCAGCCTGGTCTACATAGTGAGTTCCAGGACAGCCAAGGCTACATAGGAAAACCCTGTCTCTAAAAATCAAACATCCCCCATTCCCCACCACCACCACCACCAAAAGAAAGAAGTTATACAACCGGACAGCATGAGCTGTGTGGAGCTCTTTGGAGCTCCTAGCTGACTGGCAATTAGATGTCTGGATGCTGGCAGCAGATCTCTCATATGACAACTTCTGTTTCTTGGTGATCCTTCACTTCCCATAGCTGTGGTGGTCAAGCCTGGAGCCAGTGCTGTGTAGTCGGTGGAAGAAATGTTACCAGGGCACACTGCCGTGGGAGCTGCAGAGACTACAGGAGGCCCGGGAGTTTGCTAGCAGGTAAGCAGAAGCAGTGTCACAGGGAGCCCAGCCGCTCCTTCGACCAGGCTACGTCATCGATCCCGAGTGAAAGGGGAGCAGCAGGCTGAGCTGACTGGCCTGCCTGAGGAAGCTGCTCTCATCAGGTCTCCTAGCTCAGCCTTCTACATCCTGGCCCTGGATCCTGTTGTCTTTATTTAGCACAGAGTGCCCCAGAGGGTCAAGGCAGGCAGCATTGAGGGAACAGGATAGGGCAGAAGCAGATCACCTGAGAGTCAGATTTCTTGCAGCCCTGGCTGGCCTGTCCTCATAAAGACCATCAGGCTCCCTGTGGCATCTCGGGAGGTCTTAGAGGGCTGCAGCAAGACATTAATCTTTATCAAGGACTTCCTCCTGGTAGCTGCCTCTGTCGGGAGTACTCCACAACTTGTTTAGCAAACAAGTTAACACAATTATTCCTTTAATTCCTTCGCTGTACGGCATGAGTGCATCTGCCAAACTTACCCTGATGGAAAGTAAGATATCACGCTAATCATAAAGTAGACTCCGATGGGCTAGCCCAGCCACAGGCCTACATAAACAACCAATACTGAGAGACCGGTGGTACTATGCCTCTTCCTTCGAAGCTCTTAGACCCCTGTATCTCATTATGAGGTGGACAGGACTAAGCCGGTTTCCCCTCAGAATGCTGTATATCACCTGCCTTATGAACAAGGCTGGCCTCAACCTATCAGATCCTCCCTGAGGAGACAGACACTTGACACAAATTGTATTTGTGGTGACTCTGGGGCCCCCTGCATCGTGTTTAAAAGGAAAGCCCCTTTTGTTAAACTCAAAGCTATTTGGTGGCCAGCAGCATGACGATTAGGTGAATACGATTTCAACCTCTGCAGTGATGTTTCTTTGTGTGTGTCAGTCTCCTCTCTGGTTCAGCTTCCCCAGCACCCAGCCCGGCCTGGATCTCAGCTGCTGCCCTGCACTTTGCAACTAGAGAAGTTAGGACGGAAAATGTCAGGGCACATCTGAAAAGGCTAGACTGCGAGAGGAAGGAGGTGAGACACAGAATTTGATACCTTTCTTCTAGTGAGCTTATTTTTCATTACTTCTTTAAGTGATATGCCCATTGGCTTTCCTTTTCCAAGAAAAATAATACGTTTGGAGTTGTCACCATTTCAGAGTCAAACTGTTAGCTGAGTTTGTTTTCATTAAGCATCTCAAGTTTATTGGTAAAGTGCTATACATTTCTTTTTGGAAGTGTTTATGTCAAGCTTGTGGGGTTTTTATCTGTATTGGTTTTGCCTCCATGTATGTCTGTGTGAGGGTGTCAGATCACCTGGAAGTGGAGTTACAGACAGTTGTGAGCTGCCATGTGGGTGCTGGGGATTGAACCATGTCTCCTGGAAGAGCAGCCAGTGCTCTCACCCACTGAGCCACCTCCTCAGCCCCGTCAAGCTTGTTTCTGCCTGCACTTCAACCTAGTATAAAGCCACCAGCCAGCGCCTGCACCTCCCAGATACCCATTGCCACAACGGTGGCTTGTGCTGCAGGGCACTTACAAGAGTGCAACTCAGAGGCACCCGGTGAGGACTGGCTGGAGCTATGCTCTGCACAAGTACAAGGAGGAATTGCTCCACCTTCTAAGTGAAGGGACAGGCAGGACTTGGGCACTGAGCCCTCACTACCTAGTGCCCTCTACAGCACTCATGTGACCTCTAAGGAAACTCAGGCATGTGTAGGACAAGATTTGTTGGGGAATATGAGAAAACAGGAACCAGCATCTAAGGAGGAAGCTGGGAAGTAAGCCATGTTGTACACCCCTTCACTCCTAAACGCAGGACCTCTGCTGATTCATGATTTATATGCCAACCTAACTAAACTAGATCAGTAGTAAAGCCAAATGTTTCACTATAATATAGAAACCCTAAAAGGATTCTCCCAAGCCCATTTTTCTATTGCTTTTGAATTATTAGAAGTAATGTTGCTGGGCAGTGGTGGTGTACGCCTTTAATCCCAGCACTTGGGACGCAGAGGCAGGTGGATCTCTGTGAGTTCAAGGCCATCCCTAGTCAACAAGAGCTAGTTCCAGAACAGGCTCCAAAACTACAGAGAAACCCTGGGGCGGGGGGGAGCACGCAGTAATATTAATGGCTTCAGAGCCCTATGGTAGGAAGAATTGACTTCTGCATGCATACACACACAAACAAAATAAATGTAGTAAAAATTGTTTTAAGTGACCATATAAGCCATAATTTATTCTGATGTAAGCTTCTAAACAATAGAAAGCCTGGAATGGAGGTTCATACTAGCAATCACAGCCACTTGGAAGGCTGAGACAGGAAGACTGTCGGAATGAATTTGAGGCTAGCCTGGACTTCACAGTGAGACTCTGTCTCCAAAAATAGTGAAAACAGTGAATTAGAATTTTCCCCTTCCTGAGAGCCACTTACAGGCTTTGAGCTCTAGCCAGGGTCTCACTTAGCCTAGCGTGTCAGGGTGTGACTTTCATGTGGTGCCTCTTTCCCTCCTAGCTGCTCATCTCCCTCCTCTTCTTTTCCTTGATGAGCCTACTCTCGTCCTACCTGTCCCAACAGGTAAGTCACACCTACTAGCTGAGGACGCATTTTCCCCTCAACCCTGGGCTAGGCAGGAGCACAAGGTAATAAGTTCCGGGCCCACGTAGACTTCAGTTCATATCTCTGGGCTTTTCAGGCTCTTGTTTGATCTTTTGATGTCTTGCTCCAATGACATCTCCATCTAGAAAGCCCAAGACATGCCTCTGCTTAGGTTGTGTCACCAGGTTTAGACTTTCGAGGGTAAAATGGAACCACCCCATTCACGGTGAGGTTTGAACCCCAAATCCGCATGAACACAGCAGCTCTTGCCCACCCTGCACTAAAGTTAGCTCTCCATCTACTCAGCTCTCCTGAGGGTTCTTCTGTGGCTCACAGGACACTGCTGGGTATCGGAAAGCCATGGACATCTGTGCCGAGGTCCTCATGTACTTGGGAAGAAGGAAGGTTTCCTGGCTGGTGCTCTTCCAGTTGACAGAGACAGGTGAGAAGCCATGTGTCCCTTGAACAGTGTGGGAAAGCTGGCTCTACCCAAGAGGAGACAGACATGAATTGATGAGCTACCACAAAAGCTATGTCACCCTTCAGAAGCAGCTTTCAGACAGCCAAGAACAAGCCTTAGGGTCAACTTTCATGGGGTTTAACTGAGTTTATAAACCTTAGTTCATTTGGGGTATTAAGTCAGGACAGACTTTTTTAAAGCAAAAGAAGAGTCAATTGGGATCCTCAAAGGTCCACAATGTTGCCGGTTTGGAATGGTCTACCCCTAGGCACACTGTAGGGGAAGCAGTTGGAGGGTACTTGTTCAACCCCGTCTCTGTTCTCCTGTATGAGCATATCACCCCCATTTTCCCAGACCAAGGGAAAAAGACCCTCTTTCCCAGCAGTTCTCACAGGTGTCCTCAGCATAGGTCATAAGCCCCTGGCCGTCACCACAGCTAGACAGAACAACTCATGGCATCGTGGAGTCATCCCACACCACTAGAGAACTGACTGAACGCCTCTATTTTACAGATGCCGAGCTGGGGCACCTCCTCCACTTGGCCCCAGATCAGCACACCAGGCTGCTACCATTGGCCTTCTACAGGTAACTACCTGCTAGTCGGTGAGTAAGCCCAGCCTGGGTGCCTGGCGTGGTCAAAGAAAAAGCAAAAGTCACTTGTCACTTTGATCAACAAATAAGTCTACAGTCTGTGCTAACTGCGACTTACCTCCAGTAGCTTCAAGTCCTTTCTCATTTTGCCTTTACCTGCAGTCTTCTCTCCTACTTCAGTGAAGACGCCATCATCAAGGAGGAGGCTTTCCTGTATGTCGCTGTCGACATGTACCTCAAGCTGATGCAGCTCTTTGTGGACGGGGAAACCAGGACTATGTTACCTCAGGCCAGCAAACGCTTAAAGCTCCAAGACCACTCCTTGCTCCAAGTAAGGTCCCCCAGCCTGTGAGGCAGCTATTTATTCCTTAGGAACAGCAGGTGAGCTGCGCTAGTACCAATTCAGTGTGCCTCTCTGTCCTAGGGTAGCCCTGTACAACTGATAACGGAAGCACGCACTTTTCTGCTGCAGCTAATACCTCAGTGCCCAAAGCAGCGCTTCTCCAACATGAGAGAGGTAACAAACCCAGAGATTCTTGAGCTGGTTTCACAATGATGGCACTTGAGCTGTGCTGCCAGCCTGAGGGTCTGTGCTGCGGAACTACTGTCTCAAGTGGCTCCCAGCACTTTATCTGCAAACAACTTACTCAGGCTCTCCTGGGAGGCTGTGGGCACTGAGCAATGTATTTTCTCATAGCTGTTGGCTGGCCGAGAAGACTATGACCCTGAGATGAGCAACGTCCTCCTGCAAAGGCGGCAGGCTGGCCCCAGCTTTGATCTCTACCAGGAGCCTCATCTGTTCTGACTACCTTTCTCAGTGCACCAACCAGCACCTTTGTGAATAATTTATTGCAAGCATAACATGGAGCTCTTGTTACACTAGAAAGTAGATTACAAATCTCCTTGATTGCTCTAGTTAGGAAAAAAATTAATTATTCATAATTTGTGTCTGGCCTTAAATTTTGCTCAGTGTCCATAGGAAAATAAACTGCTGGTACCATAGTAGATTGAAGTACACACCAAGCCCACCTCCCTCATCCTGAATGAGGTGCCCTCCAACATACAGCTACTGGATATGTGAGGTGGAGTGCAGCATGGGGTCCAAAGAGCAAGCAGAACTATGCCAGCAGAGAAATGAGGGACATTAATGTCTTTAAACCTCACATCACACCTGCTGAGTTCAAGCAGCTCAACATGTCCAGTATTCCACCTGTAGTTCTCAGGTAGGCTCAGGCTTCACAGCTTGACCCTCCATAGTCCCAGAGAGGCTCAGGGGCCCAGGTGGGGGCTCTGCTTCCAAAGTCAGGGCTTTGTCCTGGGTCTGGGTCAGAGGATGTACCATGGACATATGCACGTTGAGGTTGTGGGCCTTTTCAAACCTCCGGCCGCACTGGTCACAGGCGAAGTCCAGCTCAGTCTCTGCTTTATGTTTGGTCATGTGGTACTTGAGGGATGCTCGCTGCCTGCACTGGAACCCACAGACCTCACACCTGGGGGGCAGAGGCAGGTGAGGTAAGCTGTGCCTTGTCCCAGTCATAGGAAGTGCCCAGCCCACACTTACTGCAGTGGCTTGGCTCCTGAGTGACGCATCTGGTGGACAAGAAGGTGCTTCCGCTGCTTGAAGGTCTGCCCACATTCATCACAGATGTAATTACGTACTTCTGCAAGACCAGAGGGGTGATGAGCACTTGTCTCAAATACCCAAATCTCCAAGATGAGTGACAGTTATTAATGCTTTATATAAAACACAAAGGTGTGCCTAAGTAAGGACCTTTGAGAACCCAACATTATTTAAAATGAAAGACAATTATGATACAAAGAACTCCACTAATAATAAATGTTTCTAATACAAGGCAGTTCATTAATAAAGATAAATTTCTTAAAACACTGTTACATGGCTAAATTTTCCCCCACACAAATTGTGTGACTTTGAAGCTTGTTTGTTTTTTCTTTGTCTTTTGAGAGAGGGTTTCTCTGTATAGCCTTGGCTATCCTGGAGCTTGCTCTGTAGACCAGGCTGACCTTGAAGTCACAGAGATTCGCCTGTACCTTCCAAGTGGGATTTAAAGTCTTGTTTTTGAGACAAGATCTCACTATGTTAGCCCTGGTGGCCTACATAGAGAATGCATGAAGAAATATGTGCACCATCATATCCAGCCTGAAACTCCTTTTCCAAAGTAAAACAGACGGCCTTTGGGGGCACACCCCTCTAGAGAAGGAGCTCTCTAGAAGTCGTGCCAAAATAAAGACAAACAGTGGGCATAAGATCACTGGTGGAAGTAAAGTGGTTCAGTACACTCTGAAAATCATCTTCTTAAGCTCTTGAACAAAAACTTAGCCATATCACACAGCTGTAATCTCAGTGCTCAACAAGGTCATCCTCTGTTACATATCACATTTGAGGCCAGCCTGAACTACATCAGACTGTCTCAAAAAAAAAAAAGAGAGAGAACTGGTTTCTACAAAGTGTCTTCCGACCTCTACATGCATGTCATGTGCCGAAGTACTTTTTCTTTTTTCAACTATGGCCATACCAGTACTATGCACTAATTCTAATTCTACTTGTTCCAGCCCATGCTGCCTACACAGCTATAACATACCTATGACCTCTAAGCTGAACTAGTCTATAATGTTTCACCTCTTTAGAAAGCTGCTGCTGTGTCCACTACTGACTGACTAGATGGCTTGAAGATCTAGACCAAAGGAAGTTATTCTATCAGGAGACATGTGCCCAAATGCTTACCAAGAAGTAGAGATTAGAAAACTGACATACAGCTGGATTTCATCATAAAACCAATCATATAATCCAACAATAAAATGCTGATATAAAAAAGGATTTTTGTCATTTGTAAACCTCAGAAAAATGTATGAATGAATGCATATTCATATGCATATTCATGTATGCATGAATGAATGGATATATTAATTCATATAATGAATGAATGCAAGAGATAATTTTTTTCTGCATTTTTAATTTGGGAGTGGTGTGGCAAGTGTGTGGAGGTCAGAGGGCAGTTTGTAAGAGTCGGTTCTTCTGCCATATGGGTCCTACAGAGATAAACTCCAGTCAGCTCTAGTTTTTTTGTTGGTTTGGTTTGATTTTTTTTTTTTTTTGAGACAGGGTTTCTGTATATTGCCCTGACTATCTTGAAACCCTATGTAGAATAGGCTGCCCTTGAACCTGGAGATCCACCTGCCTCTGCCTCCCAAGTGCTGGTATCCCAAAGGCGCGCACCACCACCACCTGGTACTCTAGTGTTAATTTTTAAAGGTGGTGAATTCACAGAAGAGTACCAGGGTTTCTGTGTTATCAATCCTGAAAAGTTGCTCAGACCTTGCAGGAGGAAAAAGCAAAAAAACCTGCCACCATCATGAATTCAGTAGACAGGACTCCAACTTGTATACTGATTCAGAATACCCATGTGATATAGAAGCACCTGATAGCAAGCTCTGTGACCCACTTGGTCACTACCTGCTTCTAGTGGGTATGTCCCTCTGGCTGGGCACCTGGGATCCACTGACACCAAACCCGAGTTCACAAGGCACAGCCTGAGGCAGGTACCTGTGTGGATGAGCTTCACATGTCGCTGCAGGTATCGGTCGATCATGAAGACCTTGTTGCAGCCAGGATGTGGGCAGGGCCTTTCCCGGACCTCCTCATGGTGCTCCTTAATGTGCTTCTAGAGGAAGAAGGGACAAGAGACCCTGGTGTTTAACCTGGGCACGTCCTGCCTCCCAACAGAGCCTGTGTCAAGGTCTCAGCAGTTGAAAGACCTACTGGAAGGAGCCAATTACTTCCTGCCCTATAGCACTGGCTCCTTTAAGCCAGTGTCTTACAGCAAGGGGCTGATTCCACATCCACTAGAATTGTGTGAACCCTTGAGAAGTTTGCACAAATACCTGGTGCCTCCAGCAGGTTCATGTTAACACACGGGACAACTCAGTCAAGCACACCCAGACCTGAAAGCAGCCCTGACTGAAGGTGATGCCCATTCCTTACCTTCATGCCATCAGCCCCACGGTACACAGCTGTGCAGCCCTGGTAAGGACACTTATAGATGGTGGGCAGCTCCTCCCTGTAAGGCAAAGCACATGTGGAGGCTCTGACCTAATATGCAAATGCCCCACACTGCAGCCTGCTTACCTCTCACATCGGAGCTTTTTCTTCCACCCAGGCTTGGGCCCAGGCTTCTTTCTGATTTTGGGCTCTTCGGGTTTCTTGGCTTCTTTGCTTTCACTCTTCTTACCAGAGACCCTAGAAGGGGTAAAGAAAACAGTCTAGTGATGTTTATCTCTATCTGCAGATGATTCTTCCTGCATGTCCAGTTTTCTTCAAGCTTTCCTGCCTTAGCTGCCTCTGCAAACTAGGGCCTCATCTATCATTAGCACCACAGTCGGCACAACTCTGGGAGGGTTAGAAGTCTGAGATGAGGCAGTTACCTTGGGATGGTATGCAGAACAGAGGATAGCATTGGAGCACACATACTATTTCATAATGTAATTTCAGAATTAAAGTCCTGTGTGCTAAAAACTCAAGAGATGGAAATGTGGGGAATGGTAAAAAATTCTAAATGTCAGTCATTTTACCAGATAATCTCATGTTAGAAAGGGGGTCAGCATTACCACTGGACTTTAGATTCTGTCAGGCACTCAGCACCTAGGTAGGGTATATCTCCAGTCCCAAACTGTATTTCCTACACTCACAACAAATAGTTCAGAAAGGAAACTAAGAAGACAACTCCTGTTCAAAAGCATCAAAAGCGATAGACCAGGCAGTGGTGACACACACCTTTAACCCCAGCACTCACTAGGCAGAGGCAGGCAGATCTCTGGGTTTAAGGCCAGCCTGGTCTACAGAGTGAGTTCCAGGAAGCTAGGGCTACACAGAGAAACCCTGTCTCAAAAAACAAGACAAAGTCCAGCATGGTGGTGCATACCTCCTGACATCTAAGCTGCTTGAGCCTGAAAATTTGAGTACAGCTCAGAAAAGACCTGAAAGCCTCATCTCTAAACAAGCAAACATTAAGAAACTCACCAATTTTCTGTGTGGGAAGTGTAGCTCAATTGTAAAACAGTTGTCCAATATGTACAAGGTCCTAAATTTGACCCATCATCAAATGTGTTTTTTTAATTTTATTTTATGTGCATGGGTATTTGGCTGCATGTATGTCCTCTACAAAAGTGACAAGTACACTTGACTGCTAAGCGATCTCTCCAGACCCAAAATATATATTTTTAATCAATAACAGAAGCTAAATCAGGTCCTGCAGGCCTGAAATCTTACCCATCCAAGAGGCTGAGGCAAGAGAATCACAAAGTAAAGGCTAACCTGCAACTTAATGAGACCCCATTTAAAAATAGGTGGTGTGCCAGATATGGTGGCTCAAACCCTTATTCCAGCACTCAGGAGGCAGAGGCAGGTGGATCTTTGAATTTGAGGCCAGCCTGGTCTACTAAGTGAGTTTCAGGACAGCCAGGGCTACCTAGAAATCTTGTCTTGAAAAAATAAAATAAAAATACATATATGAGGGCTGGAGAGATGGCTCAGAGGTTAAGAGCATTGCCTGCTCTTCCAAAGGTCCTGAGTTCAATTCCCAGCAACCACATGGTGGCTCACAACCATCTGTAAAGGGGTCTGGTGCCCTTTTCTGGCCTGCAGGCATACGCACAGACAGAATATTGTATACATAATAAATAAATATTTTTTAAAATACATATATGAATAAATACAAAGGTTTAAAAAGAGAAAACTGTGTGGTGAAACAGTTCAGTAGTGCACTTAGCTTTCTGTGAAAAGCCCAGGGAGTTAGTATTTATTTATTGGGAGTACTTTAGACTTAGATCTAGCCCTATGCTTCTGGGGTTCTGCGTGCCCTAGAAAGAATGAGATACTTAGGAATAAAACTGACCAGAGAGCCAAGTGATGCACACCTTTAATCCCAGCACTCAGGAGGCAGAGGCAGAGGCAGAGGCAGAGGCAGAGGCAGAGGCAGAGGCAGAGGCAGAGAGAGCTCTGAGTTTGAGGCCGGCCTGATCTAAAGAGTGAGTTCTAGGGGGCTGGAGAGATGGCTCAGAGGTTAAGAGCATTGCCTGCTCTTCCAAAGGTCCTGAGTTCAATTCCCAGCAACCACATGGTGGATCACAACCATCTGTAATGAGGTCTGGTGCCCTCTTCTGGCCTGCAGGCTTACATGCAGACAGAATGTTGTATACATAATAAATAAATAAAATAAAATAAAAAGAGTGAGTTCTAGGACAGCCAGGACTATGCAGAGAAACCTTGTCTTGGGGGAAAAAAATGGCTGGAGAAAGTGAAAGATTTATATGCTAAAAATTGTATAACACTTAAAGACAATAAGTGGAAAGACTATTTTGTATTTATGGATAAGAACTAATTTGAGGGCCAGCCTGGTCTAGAGTGAGTTCCAGGACAACCAGGGCTACGAACTAATATATGTAAGGGATATGGTGTCTCTTACCTATAATCACAGTATCTCAGGAGACAGAAACAGAAGGATCATGAGCTCAAGGCTAGCCTATGACATACCAAGACACACTCTCTCTCTCTCTCTCTCTCTCTCTCTCTCTTACACACACACACACACACACGGCCATGACTGTCCAGCAGTGGTGGCACAAACCTTTAATCCCAGCGCTCAGAAGGCAGAGGCAGGTGAATCTGAGTTTGAGGCCATCCTAGTCTCTACAGTGCAAGTTCTAGGTCAGCCAGGGCTACACAGAAACCCTGTCTCGAAAAAAAAAAAGTTTGGTTGTCAGCTTGCTAAGATCTGGGATCAAAAGGGCACATCTGTGAGGGATTTTCCTGATGAGGTTATTTGAAGTGGGAAAACCCACCTAACGTGGGTAGCAAGTTAATCTATTCTAGTACTGCTGCTGTGTTCCTTTGCTGATACTAGAACCCAGCTTCTTCGGGCTTCAAGATGAACTGAACAACAGTGGCTATCCAGGAATCTTCCAGGCCTTGACATCAGGTTAGGACTACTGAGGCGCCTATCCTCAAGGACTGGGCAGCCACTCAGCTCTTGGCCTCTTCAGTTTAAGACAGCCATTGTTGGATGACTCAGACTGTACCATGTAAACTAATCTAATCTATCTTCTTTCAGTATATATCATGTTATTCCTTTACAGAACCCTAATACAATGGTAATACAGTCTATCCAAGCAATCAACAGATTCACTAAAATCCCTGCCAAAATCAAAATGGAAGTTGGCTGTAGTAACACATATTCATAATTCCAATCCAGGAGGATAAGGCAGGAGGATTACAAATTCAAAGTTTGCCTGAGCAAAGAAGCACACACCCTGCATCCCAGGACTCAGGAAGCAAAGGCAGGTGGATCTCTAAATTCTAGGCCAGCCTGATCTACAGAGTGAGTTCCAGTACAGCTTGGGATGTTACACAGAGAAACCCTGTCTTGAATAACAAACAAATAAAAGCAAGACCCTTACTCAAAAACTTAAAAAAAAAAAAAAACCCGGCGGTGGTAACACAGGCCTTTAATACCAGCACGTGGGAGACAGAGACAGGTGGATCTCTGTGAGTTCGAGGACAGCCCAGTCTACAGAGCGAGATCCAGGACAGGCTCCAAAGCTACAGAGAAACCCTGTCTTGAAAAACAGCAACAACAACAAAAAAAAAAAAAAGAGGAGGTTGAGCAGTACAGTGCATTGTTTACTGACCATATGCAAGGCCCTAGGCTCAATCTCCAAGATGGCAAAAATAAATAAATAAAAATACAAGTGACCTTTTTTGGGAAGGCAGAAATAGAAAGACCCAACTGAAATTTACCATAGAACTTTTAGAGACAATGAAGAGCCAAACAAGGTTTTTGTTAGTGCTTGTGGCAGGATCTCATGTAGTCTAAGCTGTCCTAGTATTAGAGATAGCCCTGTGGCTGAGATACTTGTTGCTTTTGCAGAGGACTCAGGTTTGATTTCCAGTACCCACATGGCAGCTCACCTCCATCTAAGTCTGGTCCCAGGGATCCAATACCCTCTTCAAATCTCTGAAGGCACTGTTCACTCGGCATACAGATATGCATGCATGCAAAACAGCCAGACACATAAAACTAAATAAATCTTTTAAAAAATAAAGCAGTTGATTTTTAAGAATTAAAGCCAAGCATAATGGTACACACTTTACTCCCAACACTCATCCTGATCTGCCAGGAATACATAGTGAAATTCCATTTCAGCACCTGAGTCAGTATGGTTGGTTCAAGGTCACCATCAACTACGATAGAGTTCAAGACCAGCCTGGAATATATCAAACCCTATCTCAAAACAACAACAACAACAAAAACCCAAAAAACAAAACAAAACAACTAAGTAACCCCATAGGACGGCACATGCCACAGCTCTCAGGAAGCTGGGACAGAGGGTCAGAATTTCAAGTCCTGCTTGAGTTACACAGTGAGTCTGAGCCCAGTATGGGCTACATAGGAAATTCTGGATCAGCCAGAGCTATAGATAGTAAGATAGGATCTCAAACAAAACACACACACACACACACACACACACACACACACACACACACACACAAAAAAAAACCATTAGCCTACAACATACAGGCTATTCTGCCTCTTCCTGTCTGATAACTGTCCAATGTCCCCCGCCACACCTATGTCCTATCTCCTGGCTGAGTGGGATGGCCTTTGCTGGCAGTAACTCCCTGGTGCATTAGGCTACTTTAGAGTCTGTGCCATAAGTTTCATAGGTAAATACTTCCAATTCTATCTGACTGCCCTGTCTAAGCTCAGGTGTCCTCTGCTTTGAACCACAGTGCTCTGACCAGTCCATGCCTGAAACTCTGTTATTTACTCAGAATGAGTACCTTGCCAGTCAGAACTCTAAAGGCTAAGAGGAAAGGCTGAGGAGGCAAATATGTGAGTAGGCACACAGACCAAAGGTATCTCGACACCCTGTCCTCAAAAGTCCTCTGCTGTGGGGATGGAGAGGTGGCTTGGAAGTTTCTGAGCACTGGATGCTCTCATAGAGGATGCAGGTTTAGTTCATAGCACTTACACAGCAGCTTACAACAGTCTGTGTAATGACAGCTCCAGATCTGATGCCCCCCTTGACCTCCACGGTCTCCTGCATATGACTAGTACACATACAAGAACTCAGGCACACACATATACACATAAAAAGCTATTTTTAAAACCCATAGCTGAAGCCAGGCAGTAGTAGTGCATGCCTTTAATCCCAGTACTCACGAGGCAGAAGCAAGTGAATCTCTGATTTTAAGGTCATCCTGGTCTACAGAGCAAGTTCCAGGATAGTCAGAGCTACACAGACTATCTCGGGGGGAAAAAAATCCCCAGCTGAGCTGCACTATAATGTCTGCAATCAAAGAAGCATTCAGGAAAAGTACAGTTCCCACTAAAATAGTTCATTTTTCTAAGGGTGTCTTAAAATGTATCTCATGTGTCCCACCCAAAGCCGATTACCTTCACCTCAAGTCTTAGTGAGACAAGTACACAGTGGAGCACGCTGTTCACATCTCAGCAACAGGAGCTCAGCATAACAACCACTTCCCCCACCTTCCAAAAATGAAATTCACCAACCCTCCTAACTACCTACAAAAGTGGCTCAAAGTAGAGGACACTGAAAAAACAATACCAAGCCTCAGCAGGCCTCACAAGACAGAGAGCTGTCTAGGGAACATGACCAGAGTGCAGGCAGGGCTGCCACAAGGAACCCTTTCTCAGGTTCTGATCTCTCCATGTCTCCTGCTGTACTTTTATTTCTTTCTCTTTCCACAAAGAATATTGGAACTTACATTAAAAACAAACAAGCAAAAAAAAAAAACAAAACAAAACAAAAAAACCAAGAAATTCTCAATCCTCAATCTTTTCATAGGGTTTTCTTGGCTGATACTATGGTGCCCAGAGTTGCTCTTTGGATTTCCACTCTGAGCTGTGAAATGCTCAGAGCACTGTGGCAATGAGGCAATCACTATCTAGCTACGGGGTATGCGGGTATTCTTGCGCAGGGCTAAGAGGAAAAAGAGGAAAGAGACCCAGGTAAAATCTAGCTCTGTCTCTCCTTGTTAGGAGAAAGAAAGGGGGAAGCAAAGCAAAGTCACACAAGAGGCTTAACAAAGAATGGACAATGTCTGCCTGGCCAAAGAAATCAGAGACAAGGGCCAACTTGAGAATGGTCACAAGGCTGAGTTCCTGGACTTCAGAAGAGGCATGATCCAGGGAGCTAAAGGAATAGCTAGAGTAGGGCCAGAAAGATGCTAAGGGACTCACTCACTAGGAGCAGGACTAGAAAAGGACCACTAAGGTACTCCCTACAATGGGCTGTGTCTTATCAACAGAGCTGCCTGCCACCTTGTAATACACACTTAGACCAGGTCCCCAAACCACCAGAAAGAGTGACCAAAGATCAAGGAGAAGGCCATCATATTCAGTTGCTCACCCAGCCTTTCAAACAGACCTCCTGATTCGTTCAGATACCACTGACACCTCCCCAGGTGAAAGGCACTTGCTACCAAGCCTGACAACCTGAGTTTGAGCTCTAGAGCTGGTAGAAGTAGTCTCCTGACCTCACCATGTGGAACATATGCACACACACAAATAAATAAGTGTAATAAAAAGAGAAAAAGAAGCCCCCATGCTAACTGGACGTGGGAGATGGGGCCAAAGGAAAAACAGGAGGGGATTGACTGAGGCCAGCAGGAAGTATGGCCCCATGTCCCATTCTGAAACACTCGTGACTGCCTCTACCCATCACTAGACATCATACGCTCTCACAGGGCTTTACGCTTACTTCTTTTCTGGGTAGGGCTCAAAGGACTCGTCCGAGGACTGTGGGTTTTGCTTCTTGTCGTTCTCATCTTCACTCAGGAAGTCTCTAGGAAAGATGAGAGAGCTTTCAGCAAAGCACTGACCTGGGTGGACAACAAACCCAATACCATCTTCTGTCTTTAGGAGCTACAGACCCCACAACCCATGCTTCGCTTCTGAACATGTCTTAAAAAATCTAAAATACCCCAATTCCTCAATCTATGTCCTAACAGGAAGGACAAGCCAGAGTCAATGAAACCAAACAGGCTAGCAATCCTCCCTCCCTGGAAGTCACTCTTTCCTAAATACCAGGACCCCAAACCCTGAAACAGCTCATTTATTTACAGCCTGGGGAGTGGGAAGGTTTAAAGGCAGATTCAGAAAGTAACTGTTTGCCCATCAACTGTGAACACAGGAACACTGTTAGCCATTTCAAAGTTCACAACAACAAATGGTTTATGACCTTCACCCTAAAAGATGAATCACTGGCCTCTGTTGAGCAGCAGCAGTCAGTCTAACAAGCCCTCAGTGTTCCCCCACGGCTACCAGCTATCTAGATGAGTTTAGGCCTGAGGCTACAGACAGTCTAACAGCCCAGGAATACCCCTGGGTCCTCACAGAAGTTGAAGCAAAATTCAGTTTGTCCCTCCCTATTTGGATGATGGTGCATATATACCCCAGTCTAAGCCACCGGGCAGAACAGAAGGGGATAAACACTAACTGAGTGGTTCTCAACCCAAAGCAAACAGACCCTGATACGCCCCTTCCAAGGGAGGCCTAGCCTCTCCTCACCATACACAGAGCTTCTGCTCCAGGTCTCAACATCACTGTCCCTAAGGGCCTGAGTCTAGCATCCTCTGTTCTCGTGACACCTGGAGCTGGCACAAAACTAAGGCCTTTAAAGAGGAAGCAGACTGATAGCAGTGAAGGGCCACCCTGGAGCAGTTTAAAGGAGGCGATCCCAGAATGCTTTGGGTTAGAACAGGAACTGTGTTTGCCCTTGCAGTATGTTTCATCTGGGTGCCTCTGGGACCAGAAAGCCAAGCCAGGAGCCAGAGGCCTCAGAACAAACTCCCTTGGCCACTGCTCTCCTCCCCACCTCTGAGGAGGGAAGGCAAACATGCCAACCAAGGGTAGCAGCTCTAGGGAGGCTGAGTCTAAATTTTGAAGGAGAAATTTTAGGCTTTTTAAACCCACTCTTCTCTCACCCCTCAGAAAGGTCACTGAACTCGTCTTTTACCCGATCATCCGAGGTTGAAGATGGAACCTGCTTCTCACCCAGTTGCCCTGGAAAACAAAAAAACAGGCTCTGGTTACTAACACTGAGCGCAGAAAGGGCCTCACGTGTAAGAAGGCAATGCCCCTGTCTAAGAACACAGCCTTCCTTACTAGGGTCAGAAGGCCCCTGCCTCATTTCCTCCATGCTCACTGCCCCTCCCCCAACTCACTATGCTGGTCTCTGTCCAAAGAAACAGGAGGCAGCATATCAGCAAGCTGACTCTTCAGATTCGGGTCATTGTTCTAGGTGAGAACAGCCCACTCTGGATAGTTTACAGCATTTGAAAGTCTACTGTTATCAAAAGAGGTGTACATACACGTTATAAAGCCAAGCATTCTAAGATACCATATTCTAGGATGTCTATGACATCCTCCTAGGTCCTTGCCTTGAATCCATCTCTGTTTTATTTCTAGCTGAACCACGTGGGTACCTGAATTCTTAATTTTCTTTTTTTTTTTTAATGTATAAGACTGTTTTGCCTGTGTACATGCTGATACCAGCAGAGGCCAGAAGAAGGCCTCAGATCCCCTGGAACTGGAGTTATAGATGCTGATGAGCCACCACGTGGGTGCTGGAAACTAAACCAAGGTCTTCTGCAAGAACAGCATGTGTGTTCTTAACCACTAAGCCGTCCTTAAGCCTTCTCCTTTTTTTTTTTTTTGGAGACAGGGTCTCTCTATGTAGCCTTGGTTCTGTCCTGGAACTCTTTATGTAGGCCTGGCTGGCCTCAAACTGACAGTGATCTGCCTGCCTCTGCCTTCCAAAGTGCTGGGATTAGAGATGTGCACCACTATGCCTGGCAACCCTCCTGGGATTTTAAAGAGCCCAATGGGGATTTGCAGGTGGGAACCAGCTGAGCACCCATAAGTGGCCATGAAAACTAGCATACGAAGGCAAGAGGCAGGCAGAAAACTGACCCCAACTCTCCCCAACATGATGCCTAGGAACAGCTGCACCCAACCCACAGCACGGGTGGGTGGGGTTCAAGCCCCACAGAAGAGCCAGTCAGTAGAAGAAGTTACCACACTGGCCCACACTATGGTAAAGCAGCAGCCTCATTGTCTGCCTCCATGTCTTGCAGACAATAACCCCATTCTTCTCTCTCAGTCCCCTCAGCCTACAAGAACAACCAGTACCCTGTGGTCTAAGAACAGGCTTAAAGAAAGACCAGAACATGTCATTACAGAAACTGTTGAATCAGATGCCTGCTTGTGAAGAAACAAGATGTCAAGACAGGCTGGTAGACCAGCCAACTCTTAGGTATTGGAATAGCCACAATTCTTATGGGAAAGCACTGAGACTGGAGTCCCATCTTCTCCCACCAGCTTCCTCTGCTAGACCCTGACCTCCCCTCAAATAGTACAGACATCCACTTTCTGCTGAAGACAACCTTGGTCAGTATACTGAATCCTGCTTGAGCTTAAGCCACAGGTGCTACTTACCTGGGGCCTCACTGGGAACCAAGTTTGGCTGAGTATAGGAGACTATCCCAGGTCCCACAGAGTCTCCATGTGAGGGCAGCAGGGCCACATCCACACTGGGCAGTGTCTTGGTCTCAGATCCAACTTGGGTTTCTCTGGCCCGGCAGAGCTGAGAGGCAACTCCAGTGGGGTTTATCTCTGAGTTCTGAGCCAGCCGTGGTGATACCTCCTTGCCCCAAGCCCACTTCACTGCTAATGCACTGTCCAAAAAGAGAGCTCTGCAGCTGGAGTCTGTGTCCATGGTGAAGTCATGGCCCTGGTCGCAGCCCCACACAGCCTGGATGATGCCACAGTACTCAGAGGACAGTGTCCTCTGGAGGCTGGGCAGAGACACACAGTTGGCTGCGTGTTCGTGTACCCAGCCCACCAAGCTGTGCAGACACCGAGGGCTCGAGGTGATCAGATCAGCTGGGGAGAATCAACAGAGATGTCAGTCTCACGGTGGCTAACATGAGGCCCAACCTGGAATGCCCACCCTGGCACCAACAGCACTCACCCATGCATGCTCCCTCCTCTGCCACTGTGGGAGGCTGAACACCAAACCTGCAAAGCATTGGTGTGGCCATGTTTAGGAGCCTCTCAAGGTCACCAATCTCCCCAGGACCCCTCCACTAGCGGCCCTGTCCCTCTCTTCTGATGATGAGGGTGATGAGCATCACCCTCAGATCTCTGCAAACCTTGCCACCACAGCACCTCACTGTGGCACCATCAGAGTCTTACACTGGCTTCTGTCCACCCCACAAGTCAACACCCAGGATACAGGATGATGACCCCTGAAGGTCCCAAGAAATCCAACAAGAGCCTACTTTGTGTAAGGCTTCCGCTGGCCCGCTGGGGAGACATTGACTCTCTGTAAGAAGGACCTGAGCAGGCTGTGGCACTGATAGAACTGGGTGTAGCAGTTCTTGCAGACAAACTGAGGCAGGGCTGGGTCCTGGTGCACAGCAACGCCCAGCAGACGCTGGAAGTCCCTAATGAAGACACGTTCCCCTGGGGACAGTCTCTCTGAGGTCTCCCCAGGCACTCTGTCAGAGATACTGCGGAGGCTCCGTGAGGAAAACTTCCCATGGCAGAGGCGACAGTGCCCCATGGCAAGAGTTCGGCCTGCTCCTGAGCAAAGAAGCAAATGTGACAGTAAGGAAGGGACTTACAATGTGAGAGACACACTTCCCACTAGCTTCCCGGCACCTAGAGCAGAGACATGCCCTCCAGGGGCTTCCTAAACACTAACAGCAAGCTCAGGAGCTGGCCTTCCTCACTGAACATTCGACTTTTGGAGGAATACTATCAAGAAATCTTTCAAATATTTTTTGAGGTGGTGGTGTGGGTCTCACTGTATAGCCCAGGCTAGAGCTCATAATCCTCTCCCTCAGCCTTCCAAGGGCTGGGATGCCAGGCATATGCCACTGTGCCCAACTCCTCTCAAAGAACTGCAGGTGCCTCCAGTGAAGACGTAACTAAACCTTTGCGCACACATCCTGATCCTGAAAATGTGTCCCAGCTGCGCCCCAAGAAACTGACTTACTGTTCACCCATGGGTGTCCTGTCTGCATAATGTGGGCAATGCCACCTTGTTGCCTGTCCTTAGAAGAATTAAAGGACAGCACGCATAGGAAAGTCATTCTCAAATGGTTGATGAACACTACGCAAACCTGATGCTGTTACCCTAACCAGCTGCGGTTTATACACAAACTCTCAGCCAGACAGGGAACGAGTAGTTAATTTTAACTTAGTTCCCACCACAGGTCGTGGGTCTCTCTTAACCAAAAAGAAACTGGGGTTCAGAGAAGTAAGCAATTACCCTAGCAGTACACAGCACGATGAGCTAGCTGACTTGAAGCTCACACCGGTCTGACTTCAAATCTTAAGCGCTAAATAGCAGCGACCCAGGGGAAAAGATCGGCTGTCCGGCCAAAAGTCGCTGCAGTAGAAGACAGAGGGTCCGGGCCCTCCGGAACTAGGTTTGCTTTCAGAATCACTAGGCTCACATCACGGCCAGAGGCCAGACGCCCGGAACCCACCTGCCTCGTCTGTACCGTCCTCGCCTGTGTCCCCGCAAGAGCGCGTCGAGCCCCAACTGAGCTGCGCCGCCGCCAAAGTCGCCGCCCCGTCCGCGCTCGCTCCGCCGGTGCGAGAAGGGCGACCCCGACTCCGACCGCTTCCACAGCTGCCGCCCGAACTCCCGCGCTGCCGAGCCGTGCCAGGCGACAGGAAGCGGCCGAGCCGGTCCCGCTTCATGGTGGCGGCCGCCACTTGCTCCCTGCTCCGTGCTATCCGGTGTGGCTCGGCCCGCTGGGTTCTGCTTGACTGAACTTGACTCCACTTACTCAGTACCTTTCGGCTGCCCTCCGCCCGGCTACTCGGCTCCGCTCGGTTCACCGCGATCCGAGCGGGGCGAAGCGAGGGGTGGAGCGAAGTGAGGAGCGGCTCGGGAGCGACGGTGGCCGCTGTTGTGTCGAGAACCCAGAGTTCTTAGGGTCGCTCTGAACTCGCGACAGGCCCATAAAAGGAGGGGCAGCCGGGAGGGTGAACTGCCACGGACTGAGGCTCGGGCTTTGGCACATAACAGAAAACCGCAAAACGACGTTCCTCCCACCAATCTTCTGG